GGCTTACTCTGAGCCTCCTGCAAGGCGCCCCGCGCCCCATTGGGGGCCAAAGTCTGGATGTTAATTCGGTTCTATATCGCCAATCCGTGTATATGGACTACGGTGAATGGACGACTATCGCACGCGTGTAGGAGGGTGAGCAAGACGTAAACGCAACGCGACGCGGGTGCGAGGAAGGTTCGTTTTCGTCGGGTGTCGCGCACCTCGGAACTAACGGAAGCTGTCTTCCCGAGAAGCAGCGCGCCCAGCAACCTGTGAAACAGCCCCATTAGGGTGTGTGACAGCGATAATAACCATCAGCGGTGCCGGTCAGAGAAGGACGGTCTCGACTCAGGCGCACCGTCTGCTCGAGTCATGAACAGACTGGGAAGAGGTGCTGTCCGGGAAACGCGACGCCGCGTCGTGCGCGCGACATGTTCGCGTTGCTGAGGTGCGGTAGTGCGGCAGAGCTCAGGGCAGTGCCTTCTCAATGCTCTTTCGTCACCGCGGCAGCATGTTTGATCGTGTTTAACGAGCGAAGATCTACTGAAAATAGAGTCAAGGAAATTGCGTGCCTCGGGGCATCGGTAAAGCACGTCAGCTTGCGCGTGAAGGAAGACCCGTGGACCGGTCCGTGGCCACTTGGAAATCACCGGATGCGAATCCAACAACAGTAGTTTTCAGGAAGTGGAGGTGATGTAAATGATAATCGTAGTTTCATTGAGTTCTTGCCTGTTAAGTTTAGCGGCACGTACTGGCAGATGCGATCGCGTGTCTTTGATCAAGCATCGCAGCGTAAGCATCATAATAATATAGTACATGTCAGATAGAGTCACTTCCGGTGAGCCATCCGATTCCACCGTCAACGCCGATTCGCCGAAGAAGAAACCCACATCGAAAACCAACTGAGACGTGTTTTGTTGCCGTTCGTAGGGTAAGGAAACAGGAAGGAAGAGAAGAGATGGGTTGAGACGCGTCACATCTCCATCGCGTCGGTGTCTGCAGTCGCCATAGGGGCGTCGGCGACTGGCTGAGAAATGGGTGTAGAGGCAGGCGACGGCGTCAACTGGCGAGCATTGATGCGCTCACCCTCAACACGAGGAGTTGAGCCGAACATGAGGTTGCTGACAGTTCGCTCTAATGACCAGCCAACGAGCTGGCACCACTGAAGGTTGTCCGAGAATAACCAGTAGCCCTGGACACCGTGTTGCTTAGCGCGTACGAGATACGCGTTGAGTGATTCCTTCTCCAGCATCACCAGGACGTCGGTGAAATCGAAATGACGCTCAATCACGCGGGAGTATGCGCGTGCCGCGTCGCGTAGGTTGGGGTTGGTCATGACGTTCTTCCAGCCTACTCCGAGAGATGCGATGAGCGTGTTGACGGTGTTGCCTTTGTCGTCGATGAGCTCTTCGGTCTTCTGAGCATCCATCTCGTTGAGCGGAGTGATTTCGACATTGGCAGTTGGGCTCATGCGGACTGACTTGCGCGACACGGCGATAGGGCGAGCTTCCGCTTCAGCCTTCTCTTCTTTCTCGACCTTCTCTTCGTACCAGGTGCCCGATTGCGACTCGGCTGCCATGGTGTAGCCAGGCTCTCCAGGGTAGATGAGCGTCATCCCTGGGCCGTACACAGGCTCGGGCTTCGGCTTTGAAGGCGATTGAGTGACGATTGATCCGACGGGTAGGTTCTCCTCCGGGTCGTCGACGTCGGCGATGGATCGTTTGCGCCCAGCGGTGGCATTGGAAACGGCGGCTAGATAGTTGAGCGAAGGCGGAGTAGGGTATTTGGGGCGGAAATTACCCATTGGTGCAGCGGCGCTCTGGTGATGCGGAAAGTAGTCCTGCGGTTGCTGGGGCGGCAGGACCACAGTTGGCGACGAGGCGTAGTAGTTAAGACCCATACTGTATGGTTAGTAGTTTAGCAATGTTAGAGTTCGTGAAGGATACAAAGACCTGTCTCGATCAAGACAGGACAGTGAGCATGCGACGATATAGTGAAGTCACTAAGAGCGACAAGAGTGAAGGTAGATGATGGCGAGAAGGTGAGGCGCGATGGAGATAGTGGATGATGGGGATGGGTAATGGTGATGGATGGGGTGGTAAGATGGAGAAAAACCGAGCGAGATGTGGGAGTGTCCAAGTTATAGACAGAAGAAAGGCGGCGTGCGGAGGTTTGGCGCAAAAGAAGTGAGAGGAAGGAAGGAAGGTTTGGAGGGCACCAGAGCGGTCTTGTAAGCTGCGCACGAGTCCCGTGAGAGGCTGGCTGCGACGCGGTGAGAGGCGGCAGAATGTAGGGTAAAATAGCCCGGCGAGTGATCTCCAGGGCAAGTCTAGCGCGTATTGGCCGTCACGCGAGGGCTGCCTGCCGAATTCGGTAGGCGCCAAGGCTGTGTGTAAGGCAGGGCCGACCGGGGTGGTCGATGGAAGTTGCCGTTGATCGCGGGCCAGCGCATGAGTCAGCAGAGCAGGTGGTGTGGCTGTTCTGTGGCTGATGCCCGGTCGCAGATAATCCGCGCCGGGACAGTGGCGGCGCTGCGACGCGGTTTTTGGTAGCAAAAGTTAGTGGAGGAGCTGCAAGGCACCAGACGCAAGATACCCCACGCAACTCTGTTTTCGACCCCCTCTTTCTTGTATACCGTGCTTATAGACCTGTACCGTCAAGATGCAGGCGCCAGTGGTTGTCATGAGTATGTGCAGTCGTTCACCTGAAGCTGCGACAGCCCACTAACACATCAACAGACACGCAGACCCCGGGCGGGGAGCGCCAGTTTGGCCGCAAAGCTCAACTATCCAACATCACAGCCGCCAAGACGGTCGCCGACATCATCAGATCATGTCTCGGCCCCAAGGCTATGCTGAAGATGCTGCTCGACCCAATGGGCGGTATCGTCCTGACCAACGACGGCCACGCTATCCTCCGAGAGATCGAAGTCGCACACCCAGCAGCCAAGAGCATGATCGAGCTGAGTAGGACACAAGATGAGGAGGTCGGCGACGGCACAACTACCGTCATCATATTAGGTGCGTAGATAGTGCGGGGAGATTGAGGAGCGTACATTGACAACAGACAGCGGGAGAAATCCTCGCACAAGCTCTGCCCCAGCTTGAGCGCAACATCCACCCCGTCGTCATCATCCAAGCATTCAAGAAGGCTCTTGCCGATGCCCTCGAAATCATCAACGAGATCGCGGTCGAAGTCGACGTCAACGACGACGAGCAGATGTACAAGATCATCAACTCCTCCATCGGCACAAAGTTCGTTTCGCGGTGGTCAGACCTGATGTGTGGACTGGCACTGAAGGCAGTACGAACCGTTTCGCTCGACATCGGCTCTGGAAAGCAGGAGGTCGACATCAAGCGCTACGCACGTATCGAGAAGATTCCCGGAGGCGAGATCGAAGACAGCGAGGTTCTAGACGGAGTCATGGTCAACAAGGACATCACACACCCCAAGATGAGGCGGAGAATTGAGAACCCTCGTGTTCTGTTGTTGGACTGCACACTGGAGTACAAGAAGGGCGAGAGTCAGACAAACATTGAGGTCAGCAAAGAGGAGGACTGGAACAGGATTCTCCAGATCGAGGAGGAGCAAGTCAAGCAGATGTGCGATGCCATTGTCGCTCTCAAGCCTGACCTCGTCATTACTGAGAAGGGTGTCAGCGGTAGGTTACATCGATCCACTCCTTTCATGGGCTTGCTAACTTCGAGTAGATCTCGCACAGCACTACCTCGTCAAGGCCGACATCACCGCCATCCGCCGCGTCCGCAAGACAGACAACAACCGTATCGCGCGTGCGACCGGTGCGACGATCGTAAACTCCGTATTCGCAGCTACCGCTTCAGACATTGGTACCGAGTGTGGTCTGTTCGAGATCTCCAAGATCGGTGACGAATACTTTACCTTCCTCACAAAGTGCAAGAACCCGAAGGCCTGCACTGTCCTGCTCCGAGGACCCTCAAAAGATATCCTGAACGAGATTGAGCGGAATCTACACGACGCTATGGGTGTCGCCAGGAACGTCATCTGGAACCCCAAGCTCTGCCCCGGCGGTGGCGCCACCGAGATGGCCGTCGCGGTCGGTCTAGACAGGAGAGGAAAGCTGATCGAGGGTGTCGCACAATGGCCATACAAGGCCGTCGCCGAAGCGATGGAAGTTATCCCGCGCACACTTATTCAGAACTCCGGAAACAGCCCTATCAAGGTGCTCACTCAACTGCGCGCGAAGCATGCGGAGGGCTACGAAGACGGCAAGCAAACTGGCAGTGTCTGGGGTATTGATGGCGACGCAGGCAAGGTCGTCGATATGCGGACATACAACGTCTGGGAACCTCTTGCTGTCAAGGAGCAGAGCGTCAAGACTGCCGTCGAGAGTGCTTGCCTATTGCTCAGGGTGGATGACATCGTTGCTGCGAAATCGGCCAAGCAAGTGAGCGGTCCGATAGGCGGTGGTGATGATTAGATGTAGATACGCAAGGCGTGTTCTGCGAGATCCTCGCTATACAAGCCAGGAACAGTCGCTAGGAATGAAGAGATCACATCTGCCAACCATACATCAGACCAGGCTGTACACCACCATTGGTGAAACTTAAAACAAACATGTACCAAGGTTAGCATATATTGCTTTTGATGTGATCAAGACATGCGCGGCGACTTCCGCAGACTCATGGCTGACTGCTGATAGTTCAAGGTCTATATTGTGAAATATTCTTTGGACGTAATCCTTGCGTTCGGCGTTCTGGTGGACGCGAGATCGCTTGCCGTGCCGCTCAACATGATCCACGTGCCTTATCCCGCTCAGCCTCTCAATCGCCCAATCGCATCGCCCTCCTCTTTAAGTACACTTTGCGCATAAAACTCGCCCTGCGAACTCCAGCCATTCAGCCAGACTCTGCGCTCTGCCACGCAAGCACATCTTCCTCCTGCGAATCAGGCTCTCACCCTGCGACTGGTAGCGCAATATGGTCGTGCTGCTGCGCCGCGTCGCTATACTGCACTCGTGTCAACATCTGCTAAGCACCATGGAGACGGGCATAAGCCTCGCCAAGGCCTACCTCAAGTGCTTACATGCGCTGCAATGGTTGCTCCTTACCTTATCTGGCCTCCTCAGCGGTGGTTGTGAGTTTGACGGTTTGTATGGCTCTGCCACGAATGTGCGGGTGGCCTGAAGCGTGGCTACGTTATACGAGCTTGTCAACTGAGCTGGAGAGATGATGGGCCTGTAGGTATATGTATAGAAGTCGTGCTGCTCAACATGAACTCGTTCATTTTCCCATCAAAGCATCTTCGAATCTCCTCAATCGTTACAGTCCAGGCTTACATTCCTCCCAATCATTATTGAGAACCTTCCACGCTCTATCAAGCAAGGTATCGACAGCCGAGTATGAACATCTTAATGCTCAGGGCGAGAAACCATCTCGATCGGCGCGATGGCTTTAAGACTTGTCCATTGGAAGATGTCCATGGTCCAGAGATTACTCCCTTCGTCGGCGACCTCACATTCCACCAATTCGCAACGATTCTGTCCGGTGCCTGTGCCATCCTCAGCACACCGATCGTCGGGGCATTGATCGCACTTCACGCCTTCAACTATTCGAACCCCGTACAACAACGGCAGATCATCAGGATCATGCTTTTGATACCATGGGTTGCCCTTTTCTCTTTCCTGGTTGTCTGGCGAAGCGACATTGGAGAATACCTAGCCCCTTCACTCGACTTTGGTTGCTCGATCGCACTTTCGTCGTTCTTACTGTTCATGTGCGATCTTGTCCTATCGCATCAGGAAGGTTTCGATGGTTTGTTTGGAGAGGGAGCAAAAGTCAAGGGGGCGCTCAAAGTGAACAGTCCAACGTGGCTCAAGGTAAGTTCTCACACTTCTGTCAAAGGATTTGAGACCTTATCTGACACTCTGCAGCGTACCTGGTACGGCGTACTCCAGTTTATACCGACTAGCATCGTCATATGGATCGCCACGGCAGCTACCCTCGCTACTGGTACCTACTGCAAGCAGTCTAACGACGTGCACTTCGCCCATCTCTGGCTCACCATACTTATTGGCTACACTACAACGGTCGCTATCGTTAGCTCACTGAGGTTCTACAAGAACAACAAGAAGCTGCTAAAGAAGCATCGGATTGTACTCAAACTGGTTACATTCAAGGGTATCCTCGGTCTGAATTTTCTCCAATCGGTACGCTAAACAATCCCCTGAAGTAGCTAACACGTACACGGCGTACTGACACCATCCTCACAGTTCATCATCTCCCTACTTGCAGGCCACGGAAAGCTGAACCCTACAAAGTACATGACGTACCATGATGTCAATACTGGTCTTGCCTCACTCATCCTCGCCTGCGAAATGCCTCTTTTTGCCGTACTTTTGCTCTTTGCGTTCTCGCCATTACCGTATATGCAACAAGGTAGTCCTGCCGCTGGACCACTCAATGCCATCGTCGATGCGTTCAACCTCTCAGACCTACTGTCAGCGTTCTATCGGGGCCCTATGAGATTGGTCAGGGACCAACAAACACAGATCAGGCGGCAGGACAGTGTCAGGATTGCATTGGTCTCATCCAGTGATGGGGAAGAGAGGAGAGGCCGCTCTGTCCCGTAAAGATTTCAGAAGCAGGCTCACCAAAGGACGCTACCTTGTCATTTCTCTTGTCTAGAGACCCTCATCTTCCCGTGTTTGCTTCGTCGCGCTTTTCGTCACTGAATTAGAGCTTTGACCACGTCAACAAACGCTTCCCTACAAACACTACCTTTAATCCTTTTCTTGTCACTTTCATTATTCTTTCTTTCCAACCTCACTCGCAGCAAATCAGTACTAACAATACTAACAACTGGTTGTGATGACGCCCTCACAAGAGGTCACGATTGCAGCCGGTGCACTGTAATTGAGATGACTCTCAATACAGTAGGTACGAATATCTAACGAAGAGCAGGTCCTTCCTTTTGTTGGCAAAAGCTCTTGTTCTGAAGATCAGGTGAATTCCCACAACGACCCAGCGACCGTGTCCTCACTTGCCGGCGGAGCTATGGGCGCAGATGCTTCACCACGTGGAAGACGAGTACACGCTTTGGGTCATTTGCCGACAGGTCTCGTGAACCTTGCAGGCTGAAGCCGAACGCAAGTTTGCTAAGACACGTCTTCCACAGCTGCGCATCAATTGGGCATCTAATGGAGAAATCATGCACGAAGACAGGCTGCATGAATACCAATGCAACGTCGAAGATCTAGAATTCCAAGGTCTTACTGAGGATGGTCTACGAGCTCAGTTCACAGCCGCATTTGAATACGAACTGCGCAATCTGGAGGCGGCGTATGTCCGAACACTATACGATCGGACGCAGTACAAACCCTTGTTGGAAAACACCTTTGCCGAGCTGATCCCCTTTCGCTATCTTGACTTCAAAAAGAGAGTTGACAGGCAATACTGGACAAGACAAATGGCTTTGATTGGAGGCTATGTCGGCAACGCCCAGCTTACGGATGTGTCGGTCGACTTTGACAACAAAACCTTGGCTTTCGATTGAAAGACTTTTTTGAACGACTTCTTCCAGCTCACCACCTATGTTCGAGCACGAAAGCAGACTCAAGGAACAGTGAGCGACCTGGCGAGACAGGCCTTTGAAGCATCCCGTCTCCGAAAGCCCCCTTACACCGAATCGCGACTAGATACGCTTCGGTTGGAGCGCAAATCGTGGGAACATGTCTATGGTGAAGAGGACGACGACTGCCACACAGAAGCGTGCTTACGCCGCTTACGATCCGCACACAGCCAAGCTGGACTAGATTTCGATCTAAACAACATGATTGATGGTATGGACGAAGCGGAAATCAGGAAGCAGGGGGTCAAGGCTACCGTACTCATGAGATTGTTCAGGAACATTAGGTTGATGAACAGCTTCCGTGACGGATACGAGAGCGATGCAAGCAACGGAGGAAGTTCATGAGTGTGGGCCGGTACCGACAATCAGGCGGCTGGAGAGTTCAGTGAGAAGTGCGGGACCAATGTAGACTCCCTGGTAGCGTTGGAATGCTTGTGAAGGGGGTTATGGAAGGGCGTCTTCCTCAAATCTGCATGTTATCGGGACAGACAAATAGCCGCTCCAAGCACAACGATTACCCTAGTGGCACATGACCAGCCTCCTTCGATATCTGGAGTATCAAATCATGCCGGTTTATCCAGAAGCAGGGCTAGGCAAACGAATGCAGAACGGGAGACGATTGCCGTCACGGTAGGTGTCACAGTCTCGACTGCCACCATGCAGCCAATGCAGGAGCTGTCAAGAGTTTGAAAAGCACTTCAGGATGCTGACAGGAGCCCAACGTCCCGCGCGCACTCGCATCTTGGCCTCAGGAATGAAAGGGTGCCTCCTGCAAGCGTTCGAGCGACGTTGATCGAGCTGGGGAAGTGTCGCACCTTCTGCGGGATCACCGCTGAAACCGTTCGCTTGAGCTCTGACACAGCTCACTCTGCGAACTTCATGGGTTTCGAAACGGTTGTCACTGCGAAAGATCCTCCGCAGTGAGTCCGCACGGCCTGTCACTCAGCTGTCTAAACGAAACATGCCGACCGACTTCCTGGTGGCGGCTGCAACGTCGTCCCGCAATGCACCACGAGTATGCTCGCTAGCTAGACGGGTGTGTCACCAGCTTACGGTGGATGCGAAAAAGAAAGAAGACTAATGTCGCTGCTTCCATAGCCTTGCAGCAGGCTAATAAGCCAACATTACCCCTCTTTTATTGCCAATGAGGCCATGGCATTTCTCCGTCAGACGATTAGAGCGCATTTTGCGGCTCGTGGGTAACCTGGTTCTGGGCTCCAGGGTTAACGGCTTTGCTGCACACCTCCCACACGCGTGGAAGTTTTGCGGTGTGCGCGTGCCGGTATCGAAGACGAAGGGCAAGCTTCCAGGCTTGGGGACGCAGCCCCTCACTTACACCAACATCGCGATCTAGGCGTAAGGAAACAAGTCCTGTCTATTTTGGATAGGACGGATGCTCAAGCTCGCACACAACGAGCTTCAGATTCGGCAGATGCGCCTGACCGAAGCTGTGCGTAGCATCGGTGACTTCGCGGAAGCACATGCAATGAGACGAGCACGAGACCCACGCCGCACATCCTTCCGAAGGCTACCTGAGGACGCCTTTCCAGAACCCACGGTTGCCGTATCTTCCGTTAATCTTTGTTGAGTACCCAGTTAATTAGCCAACATTTGGGCTTGAAGCGGGGCGTTCGATAGTGCGTGCATGCCGCTATCGGGTCATTTACTGACTTTGTTCAGCCAGATCAGGTCATTTATCAGCCGTGCGATGCGTGGCGTCTGCAGCGCACAGGCGGCGGGAGAAGGCCAGGGAGGCCTGGGCGCTGTGGCATCCAACCTCGCGTTCGAGCAAGTGCAAACCCAATCCCCAAAACTGTGGGCACTTCTGCCGACGTTTGGTGTTCGTCTGGAGGGCCTGATGCTGAAACTAAAGAATCCTTCGTTGGACGTTGGTTGACTGTGACGAGCCTGAGCCTGAGCCAACTGCGCCGCCTCCCTAAGGCAGAATCGACGCTTTGCTGTCAGACATCGCGATGAGCGTGGAGGCAATGTCTGCAAAAACCAACCTTCACAAGATTTGGGAGCGCGAATGGAGGCTCAACACGAAGATAGAAGAGCGCCACCGGAATGCGGCTCACTAGAAGGCAGGTAATGCCCATCGTATCGCTCGCCCATCCCTGCCTTCTCATCGCAAGACTGGACGTATCAGCGCTTACAGCAGACACAAGCCTTTTAGCCAGATGCCGAGAGCGGCAAGGTGACATGCGGAAAGCGGATTACCCTGAGACGCTAAAGCCACCTCCAGGTATCACCAATTTGGCGTGCATATCGCTTCAAGGATAATAGTAGGAAATCTGGTCAGGACGATGGTCCGTGTCCATGTACCTACACATGGCGGCGCATGCGTGCCCTTGCCGGCGGGCCTGTCTAACGGCCAAGCGCGAAGGTTACAGACGAAAGTATAAGTCTGTCGAACCGCCTGGTCTAAGAGGTAGTGTAACAACGATACCAGCCTCGAGTTCTCCACGCTAGCAAAGACTAAGGGACGTCACTTCTATTTTGATATCATCGATCACTTCATCGCTCCTCCTGTATTTGGTCGCAGTACATCTTTATCGCTCCTCGGTCGCAGTACATATACCAGCCTCGCATATCGCATTACCAACAACACTTCTTCAACCTTGAGTATCCCATTACCAACGACACTTCCTCAACCTTGAGTATCCCATTACCAACGGCACTTCCTTATCCTTGAGTATCATCATAACCAGTTATCATGCTCTTCTCTACCATCACTACGGCACTGCTCTTTGCCGCATCTGCCACTGCAGCTGCCCTACCAAGACCTGCTAAACCGCAATACGCTCCCGCCCGTAACCTCAACAAGCTCGCCAAATTCTTTCCCCAGAGCGCTCTTCAAGGCCCAGGCGACTTGGATCTCAAGTACGTTGTGCTCGGCATCGGCACACAAAACTACACTTGCGGCTCTGATGAGAGCGCGGCTCCTGGTACTACTGGCGCATTCGGTAAGAACCCACTCAACTTGACAGGGAAGGAGCTAACAACCACCAAGCCACCCTATACGATATCGGTACGAAGCTCAACGACGACGGATATGCCAAGTGGAAGATTCCCTCCATCTCCCCTCTCGCACTCTCACTGAGCGAATGGGGTCCCGGGCTAGTCGACATGAGCCTCCGGCTTCAGGGCTACGAACATATCACCGGTCACCACTTCTTCGCCGACGTAGAAGGAGCGAACACACCAACATTCGCCTTCGACAAACTGAGCACGCCATTCCCCATGACCCAAGTTGCCAAGATCAGCAACGTCAGTGCACCATCGTACGCCTGCCCAGGCAAGAACGGTCTACCTGCCGTCGACTGGCTATACCTACAGCACAAGACTGGCATCACTCAGGGAGGAATCAACACCGTCTACCGTGTCGAGACTGCCGGTGGTAACAAGCCTGCGACCTGCAAAGGCATGCCAGCCACATGGGAAGTCAAGTACGCTGCGCAATGTAAGTATACCCGAAACACCCACGCAGCTAGAATAGTCCACTAACATCTCACAGACTGGGTCTATGGCCCCAAGTAATAAGCGCCGAGCTTGCGACGCTCGTTTCGAGTCAATTACGAACACTACCATTTTCTCATGCCTTCTACGATCTTTCCATAATTAGGTTAGTCGCGCGCGGCTATTTTTGTCCTGCAAGATCTACGCCAGGGCATGGGTTTTCTTTTCTTGTAACCTTTCATTCTATCTCTTACACTCACGATACCCTTTGGTTTTCATGGTTCGCACGGCTATGGTGGGACTTCAATGTTACTGCTAGGGCATCGGCATGGCTATAGGCGTTTACGGTTCCGGGCATCTGGCGGCTATAGTGTACAAGGATCGGGCGTGTCCTTTCGTTAATTCCAAAAGCTTCTTGCTTACATTGCGTTCGCGAATACTAGAACAGTGATTCTTCTCTTTATGATATGCTTCACTGTACGATAGATCACTTATGCGACATCAATGACAGTATCGCGAAGGGCCTATACCGCTCGCATCTCACCATCTCCCCTTGGAAAGTGCCATGACTGCGCCCGACGAAAGCTGACTGTAGCAAAGTGAAGACCAACCCAAGAGACATGGCCATCCCATCGTAACACAGCCAACACGGCACATTCACAGCCGCACTCCACCAACACGGTCTGCTGACATCTACCAAGTGCCGCGCTACATACCAGACCCACCGCCCACGTTGCGGCACAACTACGCAGCATACGGCACAGTAAGGCGCGCAAGGCTGCTTGCGCTACGATCCCCACCCCCATCTGACGTGCGATGCTGCTAACCTCTCATTCACCCACAACACTACTAGTACCCCCAAGCAACTTCCCCCCAAGCCCCCCCCGATCTCTCTCACGCGCCTCCTTCGTACCAAAACCGAGAAAGCCTTACTCCAATACACGACGTGAACCACTCGCCCAGCCCTACAGCCCCTTCCGTCAGCCATTATTACAGGAAATGGGTTCGGGTATGTGATTGGATGAAAACTATACGACACAGTGGTTCGTACTACTTTGGTGGCTGTGGCAGCGGGTATTTGGCTTGGCAATGCGGGTGTGGATGGTGTGGCACAAATGTGGTTTGACGGCGACTACTTAGGGTCGTCCGGAGTTTTACTACTTGGACGCGTGGACGCACACATATGTAGGTTTGGCATCGACGCTATTGGTAACTTGGTACTGGGAAAAAGGAATCGAGGAAAGTGGGTACGGTAATTTGGCTTCCGTGCCAATGATGTGGCGTACCTGCATCTGGTACGGTGCCAATGTATTTTTTTTTTGGATCTTCGTTACGTAGCTCAGATTCATTGCACCAATGTTTATGTCTGGTCTGCCTTCTCTGTGTGTTGGACTGTCACTTCTCTTGTGCGCATGATGCCCTTCAGATCTTCTTTGTCGTCGAGGATGTTGTCCTCGCTTCCGACTCGCTCCTCGGTGACGCTGTAGACTGCATTCTTCTTGCTTCGGCCTGAAGGCGTGAACTCGTGAAGCAAATAACCTCGTACGCTGGTTCGGGTTGGTCCTTCCGAGTTCTCGTTCCCTTTCAGGTTGCCATTCGTTGTCAGACAACTCCCTCCACGCTTGGAGGGTTTTGCTGCACTCCCAAGCGTTTTGCTCACATTTGATGCTTGGAGGGCTGTGCAAGAATCGTGGAGTATTGGAATTTGATCGATTTCGAATCAGCGAAGACTTCTGGAAGTTAGTCATCGACCGTCAGTCATTGTGCTGCCAATTTGAATTGCGTTATTGCTTTCATTAATTGTAGTAGACATATGAGATAGTATGTACAGACACGTATCCCCAGTATATAGTACAATCGTTTTTTCTTCGTGGCTTCCAGGGCGGGCACGTCTCTCTGGTTACTGGCATGGGGCGCCCCTCAGCCTGCGCGCACCCGATCCAGGGGCTCAGACCCTGGAATCGGTCCCCTCATTGTTGATAGTCACTTCTGTTGTGCATTTGATCTGCTTCGAATCGTGCGGATGTCCTCCAAGAATGTAGTCCTCACTCCCTGCGCGCTCTTCACTGACAGCATAGATCTCATTCTTCCCGCCTTGCGCTGATCCTGCAGTCGCCCTCCACATCTCGTATGCCTCGGCATCAGCCCTTTTATCCGTTCGTGTGCCGCTCAGGGTGGTCAAGATCGATCTGCGAGGTCTGGAAGGTGGTGCGCTGCCGATGGTCCTGGCTTTGTCGCCGTCCTGGAATTGGTTGTATTGGTTGCTGTTCGTCGACTTGCTGATTTTTCGCAGAAGTGGCTTTAGCGTGGGTATGGAGGCGGCGATGATTCCAACATTAAGCTGGACACTGAAAGAAGAGGTCGTTAGCACTAGCTACATGCAAGCGAAGTTCATCGGGATAAGTATACTTACAAGCCCCAGAATCGTACATTGTTGTTGCTGTGCGTTATGTTAGTCAAACAGCCAGTCAAAGTTGGAGAATTGGGGTATCACGCACAAATGCGAATCCTTGTCTTTGACGATGGTGAGTTGATATACCGTCTTGACAATGCCCATGACAACCGCACTAAGAGACAGTGAGCAATAGAATGCGGGCAATGAGTATGTGGTAAGCTCACATATAGCCTAAGCTGAGAACAGCTATCAAGCTGATTCTCATCCGTGAAGACATCTGGAGATTCCATACAATAGGTATGGGCAATGTGGCGAAGCAAATATCAGTGAAGATGTTGAAAGCTACCAGTATATCAGCCGATGCATCTCCGACTGTCGCGATTCCAGTCTTACCTGAGTTTGCTATTCCAAAGTGCATAACATACTTCAACGGATAGCAAGTGTGCGCGTACTTAGGATCCCAGAAGCCAGAAAAGTGCTTGCAGCGTACGAAGAAGGTGAGCCAGGCGAGAACGGTATAGAAGACAACAAAGACTAACATCAGGTTGTCAGAGCTATACACTATGCGAGTGTTTTCCAGCAGCAAAGAGACTCACCAATCAGTGCCCATAGTGTGCGTGAGTACCATCTGTGATTGCTCAACCGGAGTAGGAAGAAAGCAATGGAGATCTTCAACAATCCGAGCGCGCCCATAGCAGAAATGATGCTTTGCCAAAAGGCGATTTGGTCCCATATTCGTCTGTCATCCTGCGAAAGGGTCGCGGTGTGTCGACCAAGACCGTAGGGCCCTTGCAAGAAGAAGCAGATCCAACCGACCAAAGCCCCAAGCTATTGGAGTGAGCATTGCAGATCAGCGATTGCGAGTAGAGAACGGGTACTCACAACAGCTAGGACGATCACATAGTCGTCTCGTCCGGGCGTTTTAAGCAAGCCTATGCGTGCATAAAGACGAAGACCGACGCTGATCAGGGCGAGGATATGGAATACTCCAGTAAGGGCGAGGAAACGAGTGAGGTTGCTTTCTGCCGCCCATTGAGGATCTAAATCTGCCTGCGATGATGGTGCAGTCATGGCTGCATAGAGAGAATATGAGAGGCCGTTAAAGCATCCGACTGGAGGACGACGAAATGCAGCCTTGAGGGTAAAGCTCTGTTTAAAGCGGCTCAAGTAGGTATGCAACTCGACCACCAACCACAAGCACAATTAAACTCCAGGCCTTCCCGCGTCGCCGCTCGTAGCGAGGTAGATCCAAGCTGGGCGTCTATAGGATAAAACGGCTTTCTATGGAACATCTAGGGGTGACTACGCCGCGGCTTCGCATGAAATCACCATATGATACCCAGGTGACTGGTTCCAGCTTCCTGAACCATGAGTTCGGGGGGCAGATGCCGTGTATCTGCACCAATTCGCCTTCAGGATTTCGGAGCATACCCTCTTCACGCAGTTGGTTTCTAATTGAGAGCCCAGCAGTATGGGTCAGAAGACGAGTGATCCTTGGGCGATGGCCAACTTCCCTTCGCCACCTCGCGTGCGTTGTATGTACGTTTTACGACGGAACAGCCATGTCATCTTGATGATGTGATTGGCGGAGGCACACTCGCAGTAGCATGATCCCAGTTGAAGTGTCCTCGGAACCGGCAACAGGCAGGTTAAATCTCCTACACCCTAGCGACGCCGCGATCCTTCGCAGCCCATATGTGGTACCATATCCGAGAAAATATTATCAGAGGTCCTAGTACGATAGTAGAGCTGTTGACATGTAAGGGGTTCGCGTGTTCCCGTGGAAGGATTCATGGAAGACTCGCCTCGCCCTCGTCGGGAAATCTGCCGAAGAAGACGAATGCCACGGTTCCTCCGCATGTCGACTTTCGCGCTCCCTATCGAGATTTCCCACGTCGACATTTGAAGACACCGGAGGCGGCAGTGCGAAACAGATGGTATTGCAGAGTGAGGCTTCGGATCCTCGGGAGAATGGCAATGTCGCTAGTGTGCCGTCCCACACGGGACGCGGCGTTCGAGGCGGTCGAGCCGCGACGCACGACCCAGCCGGCGCTCACGACTGCGGCGTAGCTATCTCACCACCTGCAGCATCTAGCCTCTGTGGGACGACCCAACATATCGTCGCGATCCTTTTCGATAGAGTGACCCGCTCGCATAGGATTCGGGAATTTCGGAATCTCAGCGTCAACACATGGAAAGATCATCCCCCAAACCCTTTCATCCCGTATGTATACAGCAATCACAAACCTGCGTCGGTACATAAGATCTTCCGACCACGTGTGAGCAATCGATGTCGTGCTCGCAGCTCATGAAGCCCACGAGCATGTTACCCGTGCGCCGATCCTGCGAGTACTCGCTTAGCGACGGTGGGCCTCTCTCGTTCAGCAATGTCCTTCGCATTGAGAGTCACTCTCCTAGGGCAAGTAGAGAGAATCCGAGAGGATCACTAGGTGGCTTCTACACTTCGAACAGGCTTACATGATCAAGACCAATTCAGCGAGCTCACAGGTACATGCCACTTCGAAGACCAAGGGATGAGGTCTTGCAGATTGCATCTGCAAACCCTTCGTACCTCGCAGATCACACCCACCGGCTCATGCCACTCGGGAATACCACAATTGGCCTTTGCGCCGCACAGCACACCGGGTTTATGCTAAGGCAGCCGAAATCCTCAGCTACATCTAGAATGTCGCCCGTCAGCGACCATGACTAGCAGTCCTCACCTCATCCGCAGGCTCCAGTCGAGATAGCTTGTGGTCGCCTCTTCGGCTGTAAGTGTCCGACCCCAGTCTCTGCATGCGTCTGTAAAGCTTTGAGGTGCTCCTCGGTGGCGCGGTATCGGCAGTCGAGCATATTAAAAGGCACATCCCCCACCACACATGAACTTTCCCATCGCTCAGCCAAGCAACGCAAGTCGTTCTCAATCATTCTTCTCGTTCACTCAACGTCACACTCAAGATGCGTCTATCTAGCCTTCCAACTGCCCTTCTGGCATTCGCCGGTGCTGCCCAATCTCTAGCAGTTGAGAAGAGGGACTTGCTTTCGGATCTCCAGAACCAGGCTCTTGAAAACCTCAAGGCTGCAGAGAAGAACGGTACTCTCGAGAAAAGAGGTAGCTGCTCTATTTTCAATGCGTCTGTTCGCAAGGATTGGTAAGAACCTTAAGCATCTTTTTGAGCAAGAAGACTAACACACGCGCAAGGGCTATCATGAGTGCGAAAGAGCGAAAAGCATACATCAGTGCTGTACAGTGCATGTTCGATGCTCCATCTCAATCCGATCCCGTCCTGGTACCTGGTGCGAAGACCCGCTACGATGACTTTGTCGCACAACATATCAACCAAACGTTAACGATCCACGGAACCGGTAACTTCTTGAGTTGGCACAGGTACTTTGTACATGGTTACGAGAAGGCGCTACGCGAAGAATGCAGATACAAAGGATATCAGCCCTACTGGAACTGGTTCGCCCATACGGATGACCTGACCAAGCACCCTGTCTTTGATGGCTCAGCGACAAGCATGGGCGGCGATGGAGAGTATGTGAAGCACAATGGAAGTGCAGGCGGCAAAGGCACGATTGCGCTGCCTTCTGGCGCAGGAGGTGGCTGCATAAAGGATGGTCCATTCAGGAAGTAAGTCCGGGATTTCAGCCCTATAGTATGCGACATTTCTAACAAATTCAGCTTGCAAGTCAACCTCGGTCCCGTCTCTCCAGCAATGGCTGGCGAGGTACCCGTCAAATCGCCGCTCGAATGGAACCCACGTTGCGCAAAGAGAGATCTCACCTCCTACGCATCCTCCACATGGATGACTTTTGAGAACCTCTACAACGTCACCCTCGGCACAGCCTCCAAGAACGTTGGACGCTTCCAAGACGAGCTCCAGGGACGTTTCCCTGATGGCTTCCTCGGCATGCACGGCGCAGGTCACTTTGCTATTGGCGGCGACGGCGGCGATGTTTTCAGCAGCCCCAACGACCCTGCATTCTTCCTACACCACGCAATGGTTGACCGCGTATGGTGGCTCTGGCAGGCGCTGCATCTCGACCAGGCCAAGTCTGTTTCTGGCACGATCACCATCTTCAACCAGCCACCTAGCCGTGATGCTAGGCTTGACGACCCTATTCAGATGAACTACCTCAATCTGGAACCTACAACTATCGAGGATATGATGAGCACGCTAGACGGAGAGCCATTGTGCTACATCTACTTGTAAAGCATAAATAGTGTGCTTTACGTATAATGAATTATTTTGCCAATTCCAAACCACGCCGATTGTTTGATATCAGTGATACTTGGCGAGGATGATTGTATTGTATTGGATGTATGAATGCGCAGAGCCTCATGGAGCCCCAAAACTAACCCATACCCGTACCCACATTTCGCATCCGCTGATTGGTCCGATCACCACAAGCCATCCCCATCCGCTATCGCCATCCTACCAACACCTCCAATAAAACAACCCAACCTACCACTCCCTCCCCAAAATGCCCCCAAAACCATGCCCAAACAGCCCATCCCCATAATCGGCGCCGGCATAGCCGGCCTAACCCTAAGCCGCACCCTCCTCCACCACGGCATCCCCAGCATAATCTTCGACAAAGCACCTCCATACCGCCGGGGCTTCAACTACGCCATAACCCTGCACTCCACCGCCTACAAACCGTTGTTAGAAATCCTGAATCTCTCGGACACAGCATTCAAAGCCCACGTCGCCATCGACGCCGAAGACGGCGGCGAGGGCAAACATGGCAGAAATGTAGACATACCCAGCCACGGCGGTTTATACGACACAGGCAGCTCCTTCCGCGCCAACCGCGCGAAGTTTGAGGATTTGATAAGTCAAGATCTGGATATCCGGTTGGGGTATTCCCTGCAAAATGTCAAAGCCACGCCTACGGGACCGCGATTGCGTTTTGCCAATGGCGAGATGGTGGAGGGCGGGGACCTCGTCATAGGCGCCGATGGAGTGCATTCCAGTCTACGCAAACTGCTGCTGCCAGAAAAGTCGCGAGTAGACGTTCTGCCTTATGCCGTGTACTACGGGAAAAGGTGTATCATGCGGAAGGACTTCAACGATATCTTCGGGGGCAAGGCGGAGGGAAACCAGGGGAGGAATGTTTGGCAGACGAGCAAAGGGGATGCGGTGCTTACTGTTAAT